ACTAATACTTTGTGTAATTTTGTGGAATCTTTAACACGTATGACGAAAATTTTTACACCAGCGCTGTACGTGAGGCCAAATGTTGCCCAAATCAGTTGTAACAGTTTGCGGGTGATGTTTGATCCGTGTTGACAAAAACGTCGCTTGCTTGACGTCACTAACGATGGACTTGCTGGACCATTAGTAAGAAGAGCTTCGAACTGATAGATCGATATATATGGTATAAAATACAATTCCTATGACATGTTTTCAATAAAACCTGTGTCATCTCCATGCATTTAAAGAAGTACCTCAAATTTTAAAATATATTTGCATAAGAATTTCAATGTATATTTCGGCACATGCAAGAAACGTTTGAAACCTTAGCAAAATATCTTGACTGTATAACTTCAACTTACTGATTGGTGATGGGAAACTTTCCACACTAGTTGCCGTTCCAGCTAGAATATATAAGATCATAATGAAAACGAAGCGAGCCATATTACAGTCCGTTGGTCCGTCAATATGTGTGCAACATCTGTTCGGAAAATCGTTAAACCTGTTTTGGACTTTATTCACACCTCATGCTGTATCTCTTTGTGTCAAAGTCGTTAGTTCCATCCCAGTAAATAAGTAAAAGGCCTAGGGGATGTGCTAGTCATCCATCAATGCGGATCAAACGAGGATGAGAGTGGATGAGATTTGGCAGTCACGCAACCTTGGTTAGCTGTTCCAGGCAGTTCTTAAAGCTTTCCCAAAATTATCATCATGATTCTCTTCAAGTTAAAACATAGTTGCAACACTCAGCAAACATTTAGTTCGTTAATTCAGAGCATGAGCAATGTGTGACTGCCAAATCTTAGCCTGGGGCTCTTAAGCCTCTGGAGCTTCTTATTAAAGAAGAGTAATTATCTATGGAATGTGAATTTAATATTAACATGTTATGTAATGCAATTCATTTCTTTTGTCAAGGATGGTAATCTAGTGCAGGCTATTACTATGTTATAGTCCCTGTTACATGCAGATGAGAGGTAAGCAGAATTCCAAATGACGCATGACCTCGGCGTCACCTTATGACTCATGTCTGATCACAAAGGCAGGGCCGTAGGTAGACCGATAATTGGGAGCGGAGGGTGGGGGAGGCGTGTATATTCACATATTCGTGTTGAAATCGATATTGTTTTTACGGTATGTGAACATGAATATACTTACCTCTTGGCCAAACATTCTGTATCGAGAAAAAGTTGAATATCTTCCAAACTTTTGTCATTTTTTCAAAGGCTATATGAGTAAAATACTCTTTGTATTCAAACGCTTTCGTGTAGAAAGTTTCGTTTATATTTCAAAATATCGGGTTAAAACCTCGTATGCGCGTGCCACGCACTACACTTGACCAAATAAGGAGCTCCCATAGTCGGATGAAGTCATTCTCGTCCCAAGAGCTATTTTTACTCGGTAACTCGTTGAAAATTAGGCTCAGGGTTGGACGAATAAAGGAAGAGACATCATTGGCTTCTCAGAAAACTGCTATTTCGCAAAAGTTGAGCAGTTTAGCCAAGCAAAATTATTCTATCAACCAGTGGCGGCGCCAGGGGAAGGTAAGGGGGGAGGGGGGAATGCCACCCAATTATTTTTTGCCTTTCCCCTCAAAAAAATGTATTAGTCACTGAGAGCAACTAAAGGCTACACAAGCGTTTTGTCGTTATCGGAAAATGTAGGCTTATAAGTTGTCATTACTCAGTAAATGCGCGTATACGTGAAACTGTCTTTTACAGTTTCAGTATTAGTCTATAAATCTCTGAATGGTAAAACTTGCCAATACTCCAATAATACGTTTCAAAAAAGACAAAAAATTTAAAGCATTAGTTTTGCAAAGTTAAATTCTCAAACGTGTAAAGGTCCACATAGACCGGACGCGATTCGGCAACGCGCCGCAAATTTTCAGTTTTTAACTGACAAATAAAACCGTCAACGGATAAAAATTTTACAAGGTATGCAGACCAAAGAGCTAAAATTGCTAAGTGGTCCCGAATATTTGAAAAACAATGAAAAATATTAATGTTAAATGTCATTGAAAACTGCATATTCGCGTCGCGTTGCCAAATAGCGTCCGGTCTGTGAGGGCCTTAAGGCACTAACTGATAAGATGAAAGTATCACGAAATTATTTGAATAAACCACATCGCATATATGGGGGGGGGAATCCTAAAGGGGGGGATTTTCCTGGGGCATTCGCCTCTCGGGGGGGGATATTCCTAGGATATTCGTTTCCCGGGGGCGGTATTCTTAGGAATATCGGCCCTTTTTGAGAGGGGGGCGAAGCTCCTGGGGGAGACAAAAGCCCTGTGACAACGGCATGGGCAAATAACAGTACTTTTTTAAAAATTCTATCTTCCCTCCCCAAATACGAGTTTGCCTCTCAAATGCCCCCCCCCCTCCCCAAATTCTGAAGCTGGCGTCGCCACTGCTATCAATATACGTCAACACAAATACTTCGTTTCTTCGTAAAGGCCGTTTTCATCTACGCGGAATTTTCCGCGCGGAGCGGAATTTTTCTTTGTCTTGTGATTATTCGGATGGAACTAATTTGAAAAGACAAAGAGAAATTTCGCTCCGCGCGCAAAATTCCGCCTAGTGGAAAACGGCCTTATCACTGGGAAAATTGTTACGTGTGTTAAAGTGTGCCAATTTAAGAGCATACACTTTAGAAACTACTGCAAGTTTTCTTGCACTTCCGGTTCCGTGTGTCCCATGGCCTAGGGGGGACGTGCGTGGCCTAGAGGCCCTGGGGACGAGAATGGACCAATAGGGTACAAGCATCTCATTCGGTTTCAACATTTTAAAACCGTACTTTCGGTTGGCTGACCAAGAATGTGCCCAAAGAAATTCCTGTGCTGATAAATATATATGTATATCACCCAGTTCATTATCCGAGAATTTCAGAAAGATCGGCTTGCCACACTTGTTGTAGCCTGCGTAGCAGGCGTTTAATGCGGACGGGAGGAGAGAGGGCCGTGTTAAATAAACGCCTGCCCAAATGCCTATGACAAATTTGTTCTTCTCCGAAGTAGCCTACTCCGAAGAATATTCGGAAATCTTACATAACTCTATGAAGTTGGACGATGATTTTATAAAGATATTAACATTGTCAAAACACGCTCAACTGTTAGTGGTTCAGAAGCCTTTTAAAGGATAAAAGCTCTGTACATGTGTTGTGACTGTTGTCTAGGCCCGTTTCAGACAGCGTACTTCTCATGTGCTGAACTTAATTGTATTAGATGCGACACAAGAACGGCAGTGATTCAAACGGCGTACCAAATCAAAGGCGGCCCAATCTCGCAAGGGTCAGTATATTCTTTATACAGTATAAATTTATATTATATTATATTAATTGTGTATTATAGTAAAAATATGTCGTAAAATATAAATTTTAAAATGAAATTTACTTGCCTATTTGATTCCTTTCATTCCTCCTTTGTTGGACTAATATTTTCCGAGACCTTGTACTCGATGTTACCAGTTCATGAAACATGATAAATGCTAACTATTCCCAATCGTCGATCTGACGGCACGGCAATTCGAATCGAAAATTCTCACACTCAAATTGCTTTATTCTCCAAAATAATTCGCCAGCATGAACAACAGATGCCGTTCTTTGAAAATACGGAGGTACTTCGGCGAGATGTGCAAGTTTTGGACCATATTTTAACAATGGAAATTCTAAACCCATTTTATATTGAACTTGCCCAGGCCGGAAATTACTACGGCGAACGTCTGCGCAACCAGGCCTCCTTTACCGTTGGATTTACAGGGGGGAAGCAAATATTTCCGGTAACAGCCAGCCAATCGCAACCGTGATAGCGACTGCTTACATTATTTGAAATTTGATATTCAAAATAAAAATTCCTTCGATCGGATACTGTATAAAATTCGAGATGTTGTCGAAGAAAAGAAAACAAAACGATGGAGATTGTAGGAATTTAAGGAAGAAATATACAGCGGCTCTTTTTTCGAAAGCATGGTAGAATATGATACTTTAATTCGAAATATGATCGTTCAATATATCAGTGGCATCCTTCCGCCCTGTAAATCTCAACGGTAAGGAGGCCTGGTTGCACAGATGTTCGCCGTAGCAATTTTCGGCCTGGGCAAGTTCAATATAAAATGGGTTTTGATTTCCAATGTTAAAATATGGTCCAAAACTTGTACATCTCGCCGAAGTACCTCCGTATTTTCGAAGAACGGCATCTGTTGTACATGCTGGCGAATTATTTTGGAGAATAAAGCAACTGATTTGAGAGTTGAGAATTTTCGATTCGAAGTGCCGTGCCGTCAGATCGACGATCGGGAATAGTTAGCCTTTATCATGTTTCATGTATACTAGTAACATGGAGTACAAAGTCACGGAAAATATTGGTCCAACAAAGGAGGAATAAAAGGAGAACACACACTATCAAATAGGCAAGTCAATTTCATTTTAAAATTTATATTTTACGACATATTTTTACTATAATATACAATAAATATAATATAATATAATATAAATTTATACTGTATAAAGTCTATACTGGCCCTTGCGACATTGCGCCGCCTGTGACCAAATACAATGTTATTGACAAGGTCGGGGCGCACTCGCCAGCGAATAAAATTCAAAATAAATAAGTTTATTTTTAGATCAAAGTTGAATTAAGTTTGGCACATGAGTGGAGCGGCGTATAAATCAATGTCGCTCCAACGTCGCATAATGCGACAAGCTCTGCCGAACTTTTGCTGCTCCAAATTCTGCCGTACTTAATTGATTCATACGTTGCTCTTCTGCTGTACCTAATTCATCAATTAAGTTCGGCGCATGAGAAGTACGCCGTCGAAAATGGGACTAAAATAGCTTCAAAAGGTCATTAATAATTCATGAGGAAAACGCAAAGAAAAATCGTAAAGCCTGGTTCACACTAGCAATTTTGTCGGCGATTTTGTATTTCTGATGGATGCAAATGAGTGAACTCGCACACAAAAGTATAGAGCCGCTTTTCAGAAGTAAACAATTTTAAGTCTTTTGCATGTCATTCATTCGATCACATTTGCCACGAGGAGAAAAATCGCCGACAGAATTGCTAGTGTGAACTAGGCTTAAACGTGTTGTATATTTATATGTGATAGAGATTTCCTTGTTTACATAAACTTTAACTAAAATTAAAATATTCGCAATGCGTGTTTTATCAGACCTTAGCTAGTTAATAATTGTGCGGATATCTATTTTTATTTGGGTAAGAATCTAAAAGCAAGGGGGGGGGTTGATATCTCCACAGAGAAAAGCGGGGTTGATGAATATAATTGAATGACTAATTAAAAATGAAAGGTATCTAACTCCATAGTGACCCCTTTTAGAGGTCACTATGGAATTAGATACCTTGAATTTGTAACAAAACTCAAACCCCACATCTCCTTTTCGACTAGAAATTCGAGAACCATTCGGTTTTTATCCTATATATAAAACCCTGTTGAGAACAACTTGACCCTTACAAAAATAAACTATAGTTTTTCACCAAAAACTATAGTTTTTTTGAGAAAAACTATAGTTTTTGGTAGAATACTATAGTTTCCAAAAAAAACTATAGTTAACTTCAAAATAACTATAGTTTTTTTCCAATAAACTATAGTTTTATAACCCAAGGGAACTATAGTTTTTTGAAAACTATAGTTGAGTTTAGACAACTATAGTTTTTACCACTAGCATATATTTTAGTTTCATAACTAAAGGACTATAGTTTTATGAAAACTATATAGTTCTTACCAATAAACTATAATTTTTATGAAAACTGTAGTTCTTTACCAATACACTATAGCCTAGTTTAAAGCCGGTTTTCCACTAGGCGGAATTTTGCACGCGGAGCGGAATCTTTCTTTGTCTTTTCTGATTTGTTCCACCCGTGAAATCACAATGCAAGACAAAAAAAATTCCGCACCGCGCGCAAAATTCCGCCTAGTGGAAAACAGGCTTTATGAAAACTATAGTTCTTTACACTATAGTTTAATGTATAGTTCTTTACACTATAGTTTAATACACTATAGTTTAATGAAAACTATAGTTCTTTACGAATACACTATAGTTTTATGAAAACAATAGTTCTTTACCAATATACACTATAGTTTTATGAAAACTGTAGTTCTTTACCAATACACTATAGTTTTATGAAAATTATAGTTCTTTACTAATATTACACTATAATTTTATGAAAACTATAATTATTTGCCAATACCCTATAGTTTTTATGAAAACTATAGTTTTTTACCAATACACTGTAGTTTAATGAAAACTATAGTTCTTTAACAATATACTATAGTTTTATGAAAACTATAGTTCTTTACCAATACACTATAGTTTTATGAAAACTATAGTTCTTTACCAATACACTATAGTTTTATAACTTGCAAACTATGGTTTTTACCAATACAATATAGTTCTATGAAAACTATAGTTCTGTACCAATACACTATAATTCAGTATGAAAGCTATAGTTCCTTACCAATACTGAAAATACACTATAATTTTATAAAAACTATAGTTCTTTACCAATACACTATAGTTTTATGAAAACTATAGTTATTTTCCAATACACTATAATTTTATGAAAACTATGGTTTTTACCAATACAATATATTACTATGAAAACTATACGGTTCTGTACCAGTAAACTATTATAGTTTTCATAACTAAAGGATTATATATAGTTTTATGAAAACCATAGTTTTTACCAATGCACCATAGTTCTATGAAAACTATAGTTTTGTAGTTATAGTTTTTTAAAAATACTCTTTAGTTTCTATAACTATAAAGTAGTGCCTGTGGCCCTGTGCCCAAGCCAGCTCGACAATTTGGTCATGCCATGCAAATTTCAAATAAATATCATATATTCATTTCTTTAGAAATTTATTGTTTTCACAGAAATATTTATGTAGCATGAACAAATTGTCAGGCTGACTTCACCACTATCATCTAGAGGATCATACATAATCCAGTTACCTCACTGTAAAAACTGATTGGTTGAAACAACCACTTTTTTTACTTTAAATTAATATTAATTGGTCAAAATATTATATTTATTTAACTGGTCAAAATTTCAAAGTTGAGTTAATTTTAAATTCTGCATGAGTTCATGGAAACTACATTTACCAAAGTTTATAGTGTTTGTGGAGGTAGATGTTTTGGTACATGAGCGGGTCGACGAAAAACATTTCCTATTATGTTAAAATTCCTCATTACTTTTACATAATTATTTTATTTTCAACTACAATATTGTATATGCCTTCTTTTTAAAGTTATTTCCCCCAATTTTGCCCTACTTACGTTTATAATTTGGCACGAATTAATTAAATTCTCACGATGAGCGCTGTTTGACAGCCTGGTGCTTAATTATCCTACAACATGCGCAAAGCTTCCTGGGATAGCTCGGCCAATCAAAATCATTACCAGGTATTCTGTTAGTCAGTGACGTCACTGGACTGGGTTTCCGCCACGTGCCTTAATTCAGACGGTCATCTCAACGATATCGAGTGACCGTCTGAAATTCAGGCTAGGATTGGTATCCCCATTCATAACCTTTCACATTCATTATTGTCAACAGTGTGCCCTTAGTCTAGCAATTAACTAACCTAACGGCAATTGCTAGATAGTATACTTCAAAATAAGGTTTCCGTTTTTATATCAATTTTGAAAATAAGTTAGGGTTAGGTTAGGGTTATGTTAGGGTTATAGGTTAGAGTTAGTATTAGGGTTTAGTTTCGCTTTAGGATATATAGTTTTTTCTACGTTATATTATAAACGGAATTATTTTGAAGTATACTATATCTAGCAATCACATTGACTAACATGATTCAACTTAAATTCAAAATTTGATTCATATGAGGAATATTATCGTTGTTCCTTGGCAACTAATTGGCCCACAAATAGTTTAGGCTAATTTTTATCAATTAAATACTCTTTGCTATTATTTCGCTCACAATGGCCAACAATACGCCTTTGCCACATTGCTTCGCCTGGATGAATTTCTATACATTTTCACACTATTCCCAGGCAGGTAATATGTGATGATCTGGCTGTTCCTGTTTGAATGATATCTTGATATCGGCGTATAACTATATTTCTGAACTCACAAATACTGGATATTTTGGACTATCTTGTGGTTTATGTAGTGGTTATGAACTCTTGAAAAACAGGAAGCGGTATTTATAATACTTGACAGAAATATTTAGCGTTTGAAATGTATTCTCAAAGGTATGTAGACTAGTTGTATAAATGTCAGAAGAAAAGCTAATAATTTCACTAATACTAAAAGTTCGAGCAAAATAGAGTTTATAATCATGTTACTCATGTTTTAGTCATTGTTTCCATACACTATTCCAGACTTCATAAACACCAACGCCCGCGGGTGCCAGTGTTGATACAGATGAAACGTCAAAATACTCCTTGTATTATTCAATTTATATTGACACTGGTAAAGTTTATATATATGACATCAGCAAATTCAAATTTTATATAGAGATGTGAGCATGACTTGCATTGTAAACTATACTATATAGGCCTAAGTTGTTTATATACCAATTGATCAAACCAGCGGATGTAGCTAAGGTAGAAATATCTTCAAATTCCGTACCCAAATTAATAATACTTCATACATAAATTTACAACCAAAATAAATTTATATCAGGAATGCGACTCCATACCTAACGTCGTGAAATGGATATTTTGAAAATGGCGATGTATCTGATCGGTGTAGAGGAAATTGTGCTGAAATAGCTTATACTAGTCTCATGTTTTGTAGCAGGAATAGGCGAGGAATGTGGTCGCATTCCTGGATATTTTGATAAGTGAACAACACACGTTTAGTCCGGCAAGAGAAAGCGTATAAATTATATATCTGCTGTTTTGGTTGCAGGTAAATATCAGGATTTTCCGCATCTCACTCGACAGAACTAATTATTGGAGGGTTTGTATATTGAAATTTCGAGTGCGATTGATAAAAATTAAAATAATAAAGATTTATTAACCTAACCACGAGCAATGGACCTATTCCCTAATGAACAAAATTTTGACCCTGACAAAAATTTCTTCACAGCTTGAAAGAACATCACAAAATTAGTAATATTCCCAAGTTTCGTTGCGAAATGCTGTAAAATGCGGATAATATAGCACTGCGAATTTTGCCGTTTTTCAGTCATTTTGTAATTTGTATTACGCATGGGAAATTGATACCTTTTTTCAGAAAACGGTATCAATTTTCCGTGCGTAATACAAAATGACTGAAAAACGGCAAATTTCGCAGTGCTATATTATCCGCATTTTACAACATTTCGTAACGAAACTTCGGAATATATATTACTAATTTTGTGATGCTCTTTCAAGCTGTGATGAAATGCTTGTCTAGACTTGTCTAGGTCAAAATTTTGTTCATTAGGGAATAGGTCCTTTGTGAAACATGCAACTATAGGTCTCTTCGTAGAATCGAACCAGCCAGCGGGCATATATATATATATATAGTTTCATTTTCTGCAACGGCTCCTGGTTATATAGCCTAGGTTTAATAAATGTATAAAAATCACAATCGAAATTTCCATTTACAAATCATTTCAACAATTTGTTTATACCACTATCTTTCCCCAGGGATGTGGGGTAATTGTTTTTGTTTGTGGAAACACCACGTAAATTTATTACTGCAAAGCTTTCGATCCGTAAGCCCGGATCTTCATCAGTGCTAATAATATTATTATATTTGACATATTATTAGCACTGATGAAGATCCGGGCTTACGGATCGAAAGCTTTGCAGTAATAAATTTACGTGGTGTTTCCACAAACAAAAACAATTATATTTTATCGCCATGCAAACATTGAAAGAACTTATTGATAACCGAATACACCAGATTATATATTTAAGCACAGTATAAAACAAATAATCTAACTCACTCACGATTAAATATAAAATTATATGAATATCCAGTTACAAATCATGCTATTTCAAAATATATCTAATAGATTGTTTCTTAAGTGTCTCTTAAAAACGTCCGCCTATCTATAGCGTCACTGATTTGTATTAAAGGGTCTTTGTCCACTAAGTGTTTGAAAAAGTAAAATATTGAATGTTGGTTGAGCTTTTTTATTCAGATCTTCTCATGTCTTCGAGAAACAAGATATTTAGGGCGCATTCACTCATAGCCTACGCTTAAATTTCATCACATTTTGCATGGCAACAATGCAATTGACCTTTTAAGCCTTTACAAGCGAGCAAGTTTTCCTTAACTCTTTTCCATTTGCGAATAATTAAGTCGATATCGTTCTGTTTTAATCTAACGATTTTGGAGGTTCATACTTTGGTTCAGTGCGTGTAATGTAGATGAAATACCACTGCATGTAGAGTCGAGGCCGCCTTTTGTTTACTAAACCACAGAAGTATTCCTTGCACATTGCGGCAACTGAGCTGTATAATTACTGGAGGACCTGCTCCTATACTTCGTTCGTTCAAAGCGAAGCCAAAAAATGGCGGATTTTGACGTTTGGTCACGCCATTTCCATGACAACTGGTCCGTAATTCTCACACAATTGCCACTGACCATGCAACCGCGATCCTGAGCTTCAGACGACGTACTCTGTAGTCTATTAAAGGATTGTTAATCTATCCAACGGGACTAATTTCTAAGTCGTTTTAAGGTATTTCCGCAGTTTTGCATTGCCACTTTTACTTCGCACATCTTATAACTTATAATTTCATCCATTATACGTACCGTGTAAAAAAATATCATTTTATGACAATTTTCTGTTACTTCAAAACATCTTTGGTTACATTCGTGCAAATAATTACGTTAAAATCAATGTTTTCAAAAAAGGCATACAAAAGTGTAGCTATGGTTCCCTGTGTCTGTAGTACATTTATTTACTTGTATTTCACATTTTAATGCCACAATTGCCGAAAAAGATCGGTGACCCCCGTTTTTTAACTGATAATTTATTTCTTTAATGCATTTTACATTTCATATCCGAAATTAAAAGAAAAATCATTTCTGGATCTTGAAAAAAAATGCTTTATCAATGCATGTTCTTAAAGAAAGATATGTAAAGAAATGTGGAAAAGACATTTGTGGATCAGAATTTTACACGTTAGTAGTTTCATTTGCTCAAAACACAATATTTTTTCAAAAATAATTACAAGATAGGTTTACTAAAGCAAAATCCGCGCTAAAAACATCAATAAATATCGGCTGTTGTGAGTTTGCTATACTTGTAATGAGCGTCAAAATGGCGCCATATTGGGGTAAAGGTGCTATATTTTGATTGTCATATTTTCTTAACGAGTTCGTTCGGTGACCCCGACTTTTTTGTGTGATTTTACTTTAAATATATCATAAACTCCATGCCTGGGAAGTTTCAGCACATTCTCATTTCGGGAACAATTACTGCGGAATTACCTTAATTAACTTTCAACTAGAATTTCCATGTACAATTTATTTTACAATTTCCATGTACAATAACTCTCAGAAGTAATCAAGTTTGGGTGTTTATAACAAAAGAGTGATTTCTTGAGGGGCACTTTGTTATGAACCCTGCATAATTATATAATATTTTTAAAAGTAGGGCAACGCAAGCTTATACTTACGCCATACATATATGTCGTCAAGCATTTTTTAACGATTTGTAGTATTTTCGGTACGTTTTTTAATAAAACCATACCTTATAGAACAATAAAATACCTTGCTAACTGCGAACTAGGGTTTCATGGATATTTGTGCTTTGTCGAGAAGAGAGAGACTAAGAGTTTATCGGAGAAAATGGAAGAAATTTCGAGGTCGTTTTTCAACTAAAAAAAACTATAATTGTCTATAATTAGGCTTGTTTAAAGGGGCAGTGTCACGGCGCTGATTGGCTAAAATAAACGGCGCAAAGAAACGTTTAAAATCAATGCAAAAGTTTAAAGTTCGCGCATATTTTGTATGCGCAGTAGAACCGTGACACAGCCCCTTTAACACTCTTGATTTGTCTAAGCCTCTACATGCAGGTCGATACTATTATATATTATATGTTGTGGTCGCCAAATACATTCAACTCACTTACTAACACCATTGTCTTTGATGCTCATACAGTACCACCGAGTTTATACAAACGCTTATCTTGTTTTTGCGTATGCAGTTTTTGAACCATTTCAGAACGTCTTTTGATGATCCGTTGTGCCGAAAGCTTTACTAATACACAAATTCTGACAGTTTCCCATTTATCAATTCCCAGCTTCAGAATTTCGGCAGTTGTGTGGAGAATGCAGTTTCTTTTGAAATTTGTTTCCCTGTCAACCTTACTTTAGGATCAAATATAGGATGTAAAATTATTATGGGCTATTCTCTCGTATAATTTCGGCAGCACGGGCAACAACGAAATTGGCATATAATTATTCAAATTTTCGTGGTTAAACTTTTTTAATATCGGTATAACTTCCGCGGTCTTCCAAACACTCGGAAAATAGACGAATGAAAAAGGTAATCAATATCTGTTATGATATAGGGCACTATTACTGGGAGAAAGTGGTGTCAAGCAACGAAGTAAATGTACTTCGTTACTGTACTTGAGTACACTATTTGAGAATTTTACGTGATTTACTTTAATTTTGGGATAGGTAATAGGACCTCTACATGCGTCTGGGATCTCGCGTTTGTAGCTATAGCTACTTATAAGTATTATTTATTTAATGGTTTCTTATATCTCCAACGGGATCTGGAAAGTAGACCATGTCGTTAAATATTGCATAATATAATGGGTGTACTGTTTTGTATTTTTTTTTTATTTCAATCCATCAATGGAGAAGTCCCCCCCCCCCCCCACCCCACTTTGTACTTCAAGTATTTTTTAAGGATACATTGTACTTTATACTTAAGTATGTTTTGCCTCCAGTACTTTTTACTCTTACTCAAGTCCTTTTATTGTCAATTACTTCTACTTTTACTCGAGTACAAACTCAAAGTAATTTAGGGACCGGTCATTAATTACAGGGGAGGCGGGCTGGGGGAAAAAGAATGGGGGTCAGATATTTTTGTGCATGAAAAAGGGGGTGGGCAAATATTTTTGTGCAATATAATTACCTGCCCCGCATGACCCTGTTGTACCATAAAACTTACAGATAAATATAGGGAGCAGTAGAACTGTTAATAGTAAACTCCAACACAACACCATTTATTAAACTGATTTCAACATAAACATGTACATTGGAACACCCGTTGAGTCAATAAATGGTAAAGAATATAT